TCGACACGGGCAGCATTCTGAACGCCATCTATGCCAATATTCTACAACAGCCCTCTCTTCGACCCGAATGGAGTACTCTTAGTTCTCCCAGACAAATAAGCACTATGGTGAACTTTGTGGTAATCGACTTCTCTTCACCTTATGATGCGATTGTTGGGCAACCTTGGTTGTCATGGTTTCATTGTACCACAATTCGCTGATATTCCCCTTGCCATATGGGATTGGTGAAATAAAAGAAAAACATAAAGCTGTCCCCTGAGTCGCAGATTCTCAGCCTCAACCCAATCTGAACCCAGAAGTATGCCCATTCTACCAGGGTAAGCATGATTCACGAAAATACGATCTCACTAGACCCAAGGATGGAGTCGTGGGAGAAAATTGAAGATTTGAGTTGCACAAAAATGCCTCGAGAAAGAGCTGCCATCAGATGCGAACTCAAGCAGCCTCTCAGATACCAACTGGAGGCATTCCTGAACTAGATATCTTTACTTGGAGCCACGGGGACATGGAAGGAATTGATGCAAAAGTCACTTGTAACGTGCTAAACATGAGTGCCATGTGGCCACGATACTAGACGAACTCAAAAAATGAGTTCGCTCTTCACTTTAAGCTAGCTTACCTGACGATTTCGTCTAATTGAATACTCAAGAAGGGTACTTTAACTTTAATTGAGCATGCTTCATCCAAGGGTAGAGGATTTGTCTCCAATCCGTGCAAAACTACTAATTGGAAGGGAAATAAAGTACAGTAGGAGGTGCAAACCTACGACCTAGGCAATTATTGTTGTCACCCTTATCCAATCAAAATCATTGGTGTGACAAGTGGCACCAAGATCAAGATCGACTATTATAGTTAGAAAGACTAGAGCGGATAATTTCTTAAGGGTGACCGTTCTTCTTTTGGCATTTGGGATGAATTTCTTTCGCTTATTAATACACTTTACGCTTGCATATCTCCCATTGAATGCGGACGAACCTCAAGTTTCGACCTTGTCACTTCTTTATCCTTCTTGAATTTTCCTTAAAAGCTGAACCAAATGTTCCACGTCACTCTTTAACAACAATGTACATTATCTATCTAATGCACTTTATGAGGTTGGAAACCCTCATAAAACTTATACATAAAAGGGCTAGCTCCTGAGTTTTGTCAAACAATCCCAATACCAATACACCACCAGTATGAATGAAGAGGACTTCTTCCTTCCCAATTCTTTGGATTCTCAGCCATGTCTCTAATTGTCCCAAACTGAATGCACAAACAAAATAATATCATTCAGGAAAACTTTCACAACTATATCATATCTAATTTAATGTCTTCACAGATAACTTTCATCAAGCAGGTTAATTACAACTGTAGAAAGTTTAAACTTGCAGCAGCCTTTAATTTCAGTGTACAATTTCATACCTGTAGACTGGGTAAAGATCCAAAAAGATGAGCATTAAGCTTTACATCTAATTTGTCTATACACTTTTGCTAGACACTGCTCCAGGACAAGAATAGGGATTACTTACACTTTAGTCTTGCAAAAGATTGATTTTCTCTACAAAATCATATTCAACAGGGCATCCATCTGACCAAAGTGTAGGAAAGATTTAGTTGAAATATCCTTGAAACATAGTTAGAGCATTTCAAATATATAATTGCAAATTTAGTGATCACAATTATATTAATATATAGTAAAAGACATTCTCCAATATTAGAGCTCTAGAAACTTACATTCTTCAAGCTTGATAGTGTCTTTGCATTTTGCAATTCGTCATAAAGTCAAAAAGCCATTGTTTGTTGAAGCCAAAGTTTTATTAAGTGACCTGTCATCATAAAAAAATATATATATTGTAAAAGTCAGCAGTACAGAAATGCGAAAATTAATGGAAACATACAAATCATGAAATTATTGACTAATTAATATGCCAATCTGAAAAGTTAAATCTTGTAAATGAATGAATCACTTAGCATTGGGCCCTTGGTCATCTTCAGTTGACTTTGAATTCATTGATTTTAAAAGTTCATCCATTTGGTTGTAATGCTCAATATCATCCATGCAAAAACCATCCAAGTTCGGAGAAGCTTTCAACCAATTTTGAGTGCATACTAAGACCTCGACCATCCTAGGACTTAAGGAACTACGGAATGATCAAGTATCCTTCATCTAGTACTAAATGCACTTTCTGAAGCAACAGTTGAAACTTGAATTGCCAACACATCTTTGATCAAATTGGACAAGACACCATACTTATTTCTATTAACCTTCCGCCAATCTAGAACTTCAAAATCCTTTTTTTCTATGCTTTCACAAGCATCCAATAAGTATCGTTCCACATCATTTAATCCTTTCGTGCTTGTTTTTTCATAAATCTACTAAGACGAGCATCACTCATAGAAGAAGAACATCCTTTATATGTATTGGAAGAACTTAAAGACTCCTCAGTTGACACTTTACTACTTCTGTCAATACTTTCATGACCCACATACCACTCATAAATATCCATCAAATTGGTTTTCAAAGACTTCATCATATTACTAACAACTTCTCCATCCACACATAGATCATTCAAACAATATTCAACATAATCCATTTTGTATCTTAGATCGATGATAGTTGCAAAAAGCAACAATTGATTCACATTTTCCATTTTACCCCAATACTTATCAAACTTCTTTTTCATATTAGTAGCCATTTCACCCAACAAAAAGTTTCCACTTAATCTCCTTAATCTCCATTCATCCAATTCGATTACAAGATTACAAATTTCAAGAAGATAAGCAGAAGCACTAACATGCAATGAAGCACTAAAAGTCAAAGTGACATTAAAGAAATTTTGAAGAAATTTAACAAACATAGATGCACTTTCCCAATCTAAACTTGACCGAGGTTCACCCCTCCTTCTACCACTATCATCTTCTCGAAAGTAATGCAAATACTGAGCATCCTCCTCTTCCAACCTATCGAAAGCTTTTTCAAATTTCAATGCTTTTTCCAACATCAAATAGGTAGAATTCCACCTAGTTGGAACATCCAAATACATAATAGACTTGCACTCAATCTTCTCCTTCCTAGCACAC